TGGATTCAGATAAATGACCACTTGGGTATATTTTATCATGCATTACGCATAACTGACACCAAATTCAAAAAGGCATGTATATGATCGGCGTTTCATAAATGTCTGCTGCTTTTTAGAACACGTAAATCCGAAGATAGATTCTGAGGCGTGGCGACACCATAGTTCTCTTTAGGCAGGCTTACCTGCACATATGATACTGAAAGTCTGGTCCATGGCCATCTCTGTCGCGATTCCGCTTGGTGACAAAAAGGAACGCATGGATCATTTCGTGCTAAACCATATTTCATTAATTCAAAAGATTTCTTCTTTAAACAGCTATTTGTTTAAAATGTGATTTCAATTCCTCAAATAACATCAATCTGTTATAAAATCAATTAAACAATGGGCAGCCAAGTCTAATGGCAAATTCACGCTTATAGTTACAAGAACTCTAGAGTTTATCCGTAAGAATTCGAAAGATACTTAATCAAAGGAAGGTATACGTGGTACACCTATATTGAACGCAGAAAAAAAGAACATTGGCAAAATGCGACTGAAAAATTGCGAAATCCCACCAACCAGCAAAGTTTCGACAAGATCTTTTCTTGGTCTCAGCTTCAAAAGAGGTAGACTCAAGCGAATCGAGCACATTCCACTTCGCCCTTCATATGAACAAACTCCAGCACATCTAAACGAGTTTCACAACAATATTATGCAAATTCGGGATGTTTCAAAAGCTCATACAACTTACGAATACATCCTAGGGCTCCATTTCACTTCACATCTCGCCAGTGTACCTTCGAAAAAACGATCATTGAAGTCGATGAACAGCAAATGAATATCCGGACAAGGATCGGACAGCTCAAGGGCCGGATCCACGAGATCATATGACATTGCATGCGCAGCCTATATCAGATAGGGATTTTCTCGGGACCTTTGAGTAATAGCAGCCTGTTTACTATATCATAAAAGAGGAGTGAAAAACAGTCTGTAAGGAGGAAAGAGTCGAGGAAAACATGCAAATCTGTGCGGTTCCTGTTAGGCTGCCCCACTCTTTATAAATGTCCCAACGAGAATAAATTCTGTCGACTATTGTCAGTAAAGCACGAAGATTCAAATGCCACCTCCGCCCACTCCCCGAATCGTTTTTCCCTAGGAGCTATGATGGGA